CTAATGTCACTTTTTTATGGGCCATGTTGTTTTTTTATTGAGAGTCAGAAAGAAACCAAATATGAACAGCTTCCAGAAAAAAAGAGACTTTCTTTTTTCTCCCTGATTATAGTCAAAATCCTTGTTAATGACAAAGCTCTCGTTTGCATTGTCATGGTGACAGGATTTCACACAGGTGAAATGCACACGTTTGTTATATGATCACATATGATGCACAATCAGTTTAGTAGAAAAAGTAAGTAAGTACTGTAAACAAACATTTCCTGTTATGTTGGCAAATTACCCTCAAGTGATTGATTGGTTATTTTGGTCAGCAGATTTGAATATGATAAACAGTGGGAAAATGTTCTGACTAAACTAATCTGAGACCATCATTCCTGTCAGATGCTAGAATTTTACTTTAAAAATTAGTTTCAATTACATTGAAACTTCCAGAAATCAATTACATTGATTTCCATTACATTTCCTATACTGTTTAACACATTAGATAATGCTTACTATCACAACATTTATCTTTCATGTACCCTGTTACCAAGGTACTCTGGTCTTTATAATTGTTTTATCAAAAAAATGATCATAATTACACATGTCAATATGATCCTCACAGTCCATCTGAGTAGCTGTAATGAAAACATTGCCATATTAAGTACGTCACCTGTCCTAACTTTCTTGAAAATAGACATTACCGAGTCTATTGTGTTCTGACAACACAATCTCAGTCCTGATGCTAAGATTTAGCCTTTGACTGCTGAATTTCCCATTAAAATTATGGCTTTTGCAATTTTATATAATATTCCACTGTTGTGAACTCTATTCATTCTCCTTTAGTAGCTTTGAACATTTGTGGGTTAATACAGTAAATATTGTTTTGCGGTCTTTGAAATGAGGATTTCTTCTTAATATCCAAAATGAAATCTGTTGAAACATGCATAATCATTCTAAAATTTTCTGTGTTCAGTTTTAATGGGTTACCTTAGGAAGCAAATTAAAAACAAAAACCACAACTTGCATCAGTGCTGTAATTTATTTTTCACGTTGAAGTAATAAATGTCTCAGTGAATAAGTATAGTTACATTTGATAATGATTCAGAGTCAGTAAATTGAAGGCTGCCTACTGAGACACTGCACGTGCAGTCCAGCTCCCAAGAACAGCTCCAGTTCACAGAATCACATAACCACAGAATCACAGAATGGGTGAGGTTGGAAGTGACCACAGTGGATCACCTGGTCCAACCTCCCTACTCAGTCAGGGTCATCTCAGGGCACATTGCACAGGATTGCATCCAGATGGTTCTTGAATATCTCCTGTGAGGGAGACTCCACAACCTCTCTGGGCAATCTGTTCCAGTGTGCTGCTACTCACACAGTAAAGACATTTTGCATGGAAGCAGCTGAAACTGGTTCATACATCTGTGGGAATAATCCTTCATAAAAATCCCACAGAACTGGGATGATTTTTGTGTCTGACATTCAGGTTTTGGGAGCTTTCCATGGACAGAGTTCTGTGATATCTCTTAGAGTATTGGGATAGATCAACCCTTACCAGAACACCGAGGCACAGGTTCCTCTCCTTTTGCTCTTTTGCTGGAAATCTCTACCCCCTTTTTTCAGTTTTTTTTTCCTGATTGTCTCTTTTGGAATGCCTAAATTTGGCCAGAGTTCAGGAAGTCTGCACTGCAGTTATAATACTATGTACTGAGTTATCAGTAGAAAAATCTGCAATACAATAAACATTAAAAATTTGGGGTTGGTGCCAAAGCAATTCAGTTAATATTGAAAAGAAAAACCTCACAGGGCTCTGCAGGACTGGTTCTGTAATTAATTGCATCTAATTTCTTACTAGTCTCCACTTTAAAAGAACACAAAATGTCAAGAATTTCTGGATTGTGCAGCATAGATGGTTTATACAACCAAAGGACTTTTCCTTAGGACTTAGCTCCTCTTTCTTGAACAGGTAATTGTCTTCTTTATAATTTCTTACTTTGTTGGCTGCTAGCAGAAGAGAAATTAAAATTGTAACACACCAAAAAATTACCTTATTAGAAGAGTTATTGGATGCAAAGGATGTGCAAATAGAAACATTGGAAATTATGTAGAGTCTCATATTTATGAACACGAATGCTTTTTCTTTTCTTTCTTTCATTCCCAAAGTAATTTCCTCTGTAGATGTAATAGCTCTCTCAATCTCAGAAAAATGCAATGTAGGAACAGAGTATTTAACCTTTAGGGACTATTAAAGAAATGTATGCACAATACCTCACGAAAAGGCATCTCCGTCTCCTGACAAGATATCACCATGCATAGTAGGAAAATAAGAGGAGAAATAATATTATGGAAGACACAAATTTCTGGCAGAACTTCCTTGATACAATTACATTTTGACAAAGATTAGGCTGGTTTGTTTTTTGAGCAGCAGTTTGTAAAATCCAGTCCAAGAAGAGGAGGGTCCCTGCTGCAAGCTCCCCGAGTGAGAACAGCCTTCAGCACACATCCTAGTTCTTAGGGATCCCTCTTCCTCCTTGTCCAAAAGTCCGTGGAGGTCTACAAACAGCTGAGAGCACCCTGGACACACACTTTGGTTGCACCAGCTGAAAATAGTCACCAGATCACCTACATGTGGGCTGAGGCTAACATAAAGACCTGATGAGTTCATCAGCTCCTTTACTAGCAGTGTGGAGCAGGTACAACAGAGGACTTGCCTTAGAGGCCTTGGACTTTGTTGCCTGTTGATAAGCTTCCAGAAGGAGAATAATAGTATCAGTTACCACTGATACCACACAGTGGGAGAAATCAAAATCACACTCAGCTTCTCCTGAAACAAAGTTGCTAAAGAGGAGAAGTGTAGAAAGGATGTGGAGATGTGTAGAAAAAGATGGACTGGGGAGATTTTTAGAGTTCTCTCTGTAAAATGATGCATGTGCAAGTTTAGGAAAAAAATTAAAAGCAAAGACCCTGTGCTTGGTACCTGCTGTGCCAGGGCAAAAGAAAAAGCCAATAAGAATTGGCTTAAACTTCCTAGAGACAGTAAATACTGAATGACAAGACCTGCTCCAGGGGGAACCCTTGGAGAAGTGGGACACATTGCTATGGCTGGTGTAAGACTCGTGTGATCTGAACACTTAGACAGTGACTCATGCACACTAATCTGGGCCCAGAGGAACAGACCACCTGTCAGGGCCAGGTTGGATGGGGCCCTAAAGAGCCTTATCTAGTGAATGGCATGCCTGCCCATGGCAGGGGGATTGGAACTAGATGATCTTTAAAGTCTCTTCCAACCCAAATGATTCTATGGTTCTATCATTCTATGATGCTACCGTTATACTCTGAAGCAAGCAAACAAATAAACAGGAAAAAGAAAAAGCATGGAATACAAGTGGCTCAAAACCTATGCTTTTTGTTATTAGACATACTATATAAATAGTTTGTAAATACTTTCTGGCAAAAGTGCTTAAGTATACTTTATCCTAACGTGCTGTGTGTTTCTATTTTAATTTCATGCCTAAATCGATAGCTAATTATAATTTGACAAGAAAAAGTGATTGCAATGGATAAGATCTACCTGCTCTGCTGCTAAATTGTAATGTGGTTGGCTGGATTTACAGTGTTACTACAATTTGTCTATACCATTTCCAGAGTCAACATAAGAATCAGGAAATAAATTTCTGGCAAATCATTTCAACACCACACAGCATTGCCCCAGAAGTCCTTTGTCTGCAGTTGATAGAAGAAGGAAGATTTTGATGTCTAATTGTTGACACTCATTTGGCCGGGATTGAAACAGCTTCCTTGGGTCTTATGACCAGATGCAAAAAACTCTATCCAGGACCATGATCATTTAGGCAATGATTATTAAAGCAAGGTATGCTTGAAGAATCTGAGAGTACAATTGCCATCACAATTAACATCCTAGTCCTTCTCTAGGCCTATCATACAAACTCACATGCCCCCCCCAAATACATACATATGAGAGAGGTTTTCTCCCTCATCCTGCAAACTTGTTAAGAAATGGACAACTGGATACGTAAAAAATTCTCTTCTTTGATTTTCATGCTTACCAGTCATTAAAGGGCTACTTTCCAGAGCAGCACAAAAAAAAGAAGAGCTGGTTGACCAAAAGTTTTTTTTCTTACAAAGAAGTGTCAACCCTGAGCTTGTAATTAAGAAGTTAAAATCTGTGATTTATATATATTTATATATATAAAAATAGATGATCATACTAAGACTAAAAAAGTGAAAGAAATCTCCATGTCAGTACTATATATTTGTTTATTCTGAGATTTTGTAGACGAAATCCTTGTGACACTCAAATTAAGTGATATGAAAGATGTAGTTAGGTGTGAAACACACTATTGATCCAGTTGCTGTTAGTCCATTAGAGAATTGCCATTTTGGTAGGATAATGAACATAGTAGCAGAAAGTTCTAATCGATGTCAGAACAGTAACAAAAGGAAAAAGATTCTATCACAAGAGATTATTTTCTGTCTGAACCCTTGAGGGGTCAAGAGCGTTGTTTATATTATCGTCATGGCTGATGAGCTCACAGCGGTGAGCTAAGTGGAAAACTGTGCCAATTGCATAACATGAATAAATCCTAAAAGAAACTGTGCTACTACTAATATTTTTATTGGGCATTAAATACTAAACAACTGTAACATGATATTCTGAAGCTAGTGGAGCTACTACTATACTAAAAGGTAAACTTATTTTTCAGCTTCTCTGCCTTCATACCAATCTGATGTGGCTGGCAGATGGAGTGCAAGACATTCACTGTTGAGACATACTTTCGTGTTGGAAAAAAAAATCCAGCCTTCCTCCCTATAACAATGATCATTCTGATGACCTGAATCATCCTACAGAAGTTCCTAAGGAAACCTGGCTGTCAGCGAAGAACGGTTGCATTTTTTTGTTCCTTTCTTGTGTTTTTTTTTTTTTTTTTTTATTTTTTTTTTTGTTTCATTGATATTCTGTTGAAATGCAGCAGCCTTGAATCAGGCCTGATTCAGAAAGAAAACTGTTTTCTTAGTTTCTTCCCCCCTCTTTTTTCTCTGATGGGGGAAAAACACACACCGTAAGATCCTTTTTCCCTTTTGCAGCATAAAAGGAAATGAAGCTCAGAAAGTCTCCTGTAATAAAGGTTTGAGAAAGAATTCTCTCAAGAGTGGATATTGTCTTCAGAGATATCTGAAAAAAGCAGGAAGCAGTTCAGTCTGGTACCTGGTACTCTTTGGGAAAACTAAAATGGGAAGCAGGTTGCAGTACTGCTCTCTTGTAGAAAACTGCAAGTGTTTGTGGCATGGTCCATTGTCCAAGAGTATAAGAAAAGAAGGAAGTTGGCTGTTTCTGTAGCTAAAACACAGTTTCTCCCACAAGATCCAGGATTATCTCCACTGTCTCTGCAGTACAAGACTGATGAAGATGACAAGCAACGTCTGCAGTGACCAACCAGGCTGTGTGGCTGAAGCCTCCACCTCCCTCCTGTCTGAGTCGACAGGCGGTGCTTCAGTGGTGATGAAATCAAACTCGGTGGGACAGATGTCATCTGTACAGCCACTTCCACTGCCTGAGCCGCTGGTTTCATCACCTGGCACAAAGGAGTGAGGGAAACAGCATGAGTGTTGTTGGTTATAGCTTTCATCCCTTTTCTTCATTCCCCTTCCATCTGGCACCCCAGTGGGATAAACACATTGGGAATGGGAAAGTGGTAGTGATGCTAAATTTCATTCAGCAAAGCATCCAAATGAAAGCCACTGTTACTTAATTAGATGATTAAGTGCTCTTCTGACAAAGAAGTGGACTGTTGGCATTATGGAAAGCTCTCAGTGTCTTGATACACTAGACATGAAGACTAATAAAAGAAGCAAAAGAAAGAACTATATAACTGGAGTTTCATGTGACAGAAAAAGAATTCTTATGTTGTCAGCAGTGCAGAGCACAAAGACTAAAGAAAGTAATTTCAATGGAACCAGTTAATAAATGTGTTCCAAAAAGACATTTATGTAATGACAGTTAATGGTTTCTTACTTGTATCCTGGAAGTTGACATCATTCCCATTATATGCGTTCTTCAGTTTGTTAGTCATGACACGTAAGGCCATGATTTGTTGTCGAATGAAGGTGTCTGGCCTTGTGATGTCCACATCTACTTCTGGATTGTTGATCTGGTTGGTCAACCCATCATTCATAATCTCAGGCAAGTATCTACATAGCAGGATGAATCATTAGTTTGAGATGCAGTAATTTCAGAAATAAAACACTGTGTAGCAAATGGTGTGCTAAGCAATTCAATATGCAGTTCTTGAACAGATCCAGTGGACCTATTTTAAAAATATAGTTTTTAATTTTACTGACTCTGAAGGATCTTTTTAGTAGCTTAGCTACTACAGGGAGCAGAAAGCATTTAGGTTTTTCAACCTCTTAACTTTACATATACTCTCCAGCAAGTGCACTGACTGTGTGAGCTATGGAAAAGGTTCAGAAGCCAGCAGTAAGTCACTGCATGTTCATATCCTCTGCTGATGTGAATGGTTATACACTAAATTAAACATCTAACAGTGCATTCTTCTGTTTTTACCTCTTTCTACTTAAAAAATACGAAGTCCTTTGTTATATAGAGCTTTCTTTTTTTTGTTCTGAGACAGATTAGAAGCCTATCTTGAGGCATTATGGCTTTGTTTAAAAAAACACTTAATAAATTTTCTTCTCTAATTCTTTCTTGCATCCCTTTTTTAGGCCACTGTGAACAACATGTCCAGCCCCTATCACATCCAGGCCCATAAAAGTGGTTGTGATTTTACCAAACTCCAGTATTTTCTTTGATTTTGCCCTTATTCCTTAAAACCAGGCTACGCTTGCATCTTTCATGTATTTCGTGCATAACATTTTAGGTATGGCATTTCCTACCCATCCATCCAACTGAATTTTTTATTCAGGCTCTTAGCTTTTAATTTCTTGATTACTGCAGCATTCCTTTCTCTGACCTTGACAAATACAGTCTTAGTCTGCTCACAAGCATCAAGTGTGCTTTTGCAGGTAACTCTCCCCTACAAAAAAGCAGCCTCCAATCATCCTAGAGTAAAAATCTCCATCTCCCTTTGTTACAAAGATGCACGCTTTATTCCCTGCTGCTCTTTGTCCTCAGGAAGCTCTCTTTATAGGCATCAGTAAAGCTACCTTTTTTTCTGCTTTGAATCTCTGTTAAAAATTATCTGTGCATTTTACAGCTGCCAGGCTGATAAAAGGTTGACATTTTTTCTCTCTGCTGGTATTGTGCCCTGAGAAAATAGTGTATCACTGCTTCCCTGTTCTCTCTTGCCTGTCTTTACCTACTGTCTTTGTCTCACATTTAGACTGCAAGGGATTTGGGGCAGATCAACCCTTTGTATATGTTTTTAATAAGGATATGATCTATTTTGCAATTAATGTGCATACCAGGCTATGCTGCTGATGTTTGTTAGACTCCTCATGTGGGTATGTGCTCAGACAGTAAATAATGATAGCACAGTCTAGCCTACTAATGACAAACGTTCACGATGCCTGGTACCAAATATAGTTTAAGAATATTTCATATCACTCTCACTTGAGCACACACAATTCTCTGTCAGTATTCAAATTTGGCATTGATGACAGCATTGTTCATACTGGTCTGGAAAAATAAATACATCTTAAAAATAATTGTGAAAGTAAGGGAGAAGAAAGGACTTTCTCCGCTGAAGTCATGGTTTAGGGAAAATAAGTTTTGTGTTTCTTCTGGAGGTTCACAAAATGGCAGCTGCTTTGCTGCACCAAGGAAGGGTTTAGTCTCATCGTAATAGGTTCTAGCTTTGCAAGATGAGACTCATTTGTTGCCAGTGGCCTTTGAAATCTTACATGAGAATAATCCCGGGGGAGCGTGAACATATAAGAACCAAACACAATTGCCAAAAATATCCAGCCTCAAACTGCATGTCCTGTTTCACTAGTACCATGATGTGAAATAACAATGCTGGGGGATCCCATCCAGACTCCTGTGGTAAGGCTTATTATGGTGAGAATACAGAGCCAGCACCCCAGCACAGAGGACTGCAGACCACGATGTTATGAATCACTAAAGATAGAATAGGAAATAATTCTTCAGAGATGCCTGGAAGCAGCAGGATGGAGACCTTGGCAGGTAGAGATGCCCTGGGCTGTAAAGGAACAGATCTCCATCTGTCACACGTCTCTACAAATGAAATGGCTGCTGTAGATAAATTACTCATTCTAGAATTAAACCAGCGATTTCAAGGTGAAAGTTGATTAAAAAAAGCAAGGATGTAAGATTTGACCTTCTGGCTCAGAGAGGATTTCCATCTTGCCCAGTATCCTGTCCATGAAAATGGCTACAGCTGTTAGCAACCAGAAGTGATCTGAAATTGCTGAATATTCATGTGGATTGCTCTCCTTGTTTTTGAAAGGTTAGCTGCTCTTTATTGCATGCTATCCATGAGAAGCTATGGCTAGCTCTGCATGGCAGCTCACAGGCTTTCTTTGACTGATTTCTGTTTGATTTCATTTTGTCTTATCATCAATAATAGAAGAAGATTCTAATTGCTTCTGAGAGCAATTAGAGAGTGCTCTGATGTGCGCGTTTTATCCAGGTTCATATTTTGCACTGTGGCTGGTGTGGATCTGATATCCTTCTGAAGACCATCTAACTTTAAATGGGCCAGCCCGTTCAGTTGTAGGAAGAGATTTTGTCAAACTGTCACATATCCTGCTGTACCTGCCCAGGATGTGGTGATCTCCAAAGCATTCCTGGCACGGAAGGCTTAACCTCTCAGAAGAACAGCCCAGTGTACCTCACCTCGGTGTGTAAGGGAGTCATACTGGATGTAGGTCACAAGAAATCCATGATTGCCTAATGGTTAGGAGGATAGTTAAATTCCCTTGGCATTTAGGGCGTAGGAGCAAAATAATTAAAGAGGCTAAAAATTTATCTTTAAGTTTACACAGATAATAAAACCTGTATGTTCAAATGAAAGTGTCTGCATACAAGCAGAGTCTCACTCTTGCCAGATCTAGTCAACACAAGATCTAGTCACAGCTAGTCAGGAGTTTATTCATCAGTGGAGCGGGGACAGCTGTTAGAGTCCCATGTGCCTTTGGCCAAATGACTAGTTCATTATACTTCATCTGCTGGGATTTACTTGAATAAACATAGACATCTGGTGCCATTTGAATACTCTTGGTTATTTTTCCTCTTCTCATCACTAGCTCCAAAAGGTGAGGCTTTCTGGATCATATCTGCAGGCTTGAGGGGGAGGTCTTGGACATTTGGGGCATCTAAAATTATAGTGTGTGTCTTACTTTAGGGCAGCTGCATTGAGTCTTGAATACCACTTAAGCCACCAGGACTTAGGCTTGGTGTTGTGCTGCCACTCCAATAGGGTTTGAATATCCTGCAGGTCCAGGGTCTAATTTGTCAGCTACATGCAGATATCTTGACTATTTAGACCATCTAACATAGAAGGAGGTAAGTGTGCTCAGGCAGTGGAAAACTGTCTCCGACTACATTGACGGGATATTGGGGCTGTCTTCAGGCACCTTAACATTGGTGGTTTTAAAATCACTTAAGCAATTTTAATATAGCCTGTGGTCCAGATGGGAGGTAGTGTCCTGTGTCATACTCATCTCGGATGTGCCAAAGAGTCTCCAATGATACTACTATCACATGGGCAACACACTCCTTATTGTCTTATCCACATTTAAGTACATGAATTCACATGTCTGAATGTGTAGCTGGATTCTGACCTCATTACTGAAGAAGTTCACCTGCTTCCTCAGGGGAGGAAAAAACAGTCAGAAAAGCCTATATTGAATGTAAATATCTTTGAATTGTTTTCCTTTCTTTAAAGGACTGATGCAGACATGAGAACATGCAGCCCAAGGTGTTTCCTGAGCAACAGTCTCAGAGAGGCAGCCCAGCATGTGCTCTGACAAAAGCATTTTGATGTGTGTGGGGTAGGGTTAAGTCACACCGAATAGGAAGTCATGTCTTGGGACCACTTTTTGACAGAAGATTTGTTGCTGGCTGGGCAAAGTTGTTGAACACAGCTGCTTTTGCTGCAGTTCTGTAAGTGGAGACACCCTTGTGAATTTTGAGCTTTGCCGCTGCTTCTGCTCTAGTTAATGATCTCTTTGTAGGCTTGGCCATTACAAGAACTGTATGCCCATTATAAATGAAAAGAAGCGTCAACCTGAATCAGTGTCTGTTCTCTGCAGCCTCTGAGCAAAAAAAAATAATCAAGCTTTCTTAGCCCTCTGAGTATAGAGAAGCTGAATAATACTGTTTGTTTTCTGCTGTTTGCTCCTTGTTCGACTATGTCAGGATTTTAGTGTAATTTCCATTGTTTTCTAAAATATTAATGCCTGCCATTCCTCTTAGCTTTTCCACAGTTCTTGAGTTCTCACTGATCTCAGCAGACACAGCAAAAGTGTCTTTTGGTACATCATAACCAAGAACCACAAAGTCTATTTAAAATCACTTTTTCTTTTTTCCCCTAATAACCAGTTAATACTCCAGGGTTTCTACTTTCTTTTCAAGTCTAGAGATGACTGATGAATCTTTCAGGTCATTTATGGAAAGGCTGTAGATATGACACTACCCCCCCCACACCTCTCCTGCTCCTGCAAAAAAAAAAAAAAAAGAGGAGTCTTCTGATTTTTAAAACACATCTGGCTTAAAGGGCAACATTTTCCATATTTTGCTGCCACAGCAGCTGCTTAGAGTACAACTGGAACATGTCACCTAGGCAGTACTGGAGATTTTCCAGGTGCACAGAATTGTAGGCAATAGAGTACAAAATACAGCACAGGCTTACTGAAGCTGGGCTGGGACTACGCAGTCACATCTGGTCCAGAAAGATAAGTGCAGTGGAAAATTGGCTTGTTTGGCTAACTAGATCACCTCATCTGATTCTGTTTGCTCAGGAGGTAATCCCCACAGGATATTTACAGTTTGTTTTTTTTTTTTTTTCGGATCCCTCTTGGAGAAAAGCTTGAGGAGACATAAGGAGAGGGAGAAAATAGCTTATCTGCCAACTTGCTGAAAGGAAGATGCAAAAATAGACTAGAGCCATCAATTAAGAATAGGCAGTTTTCACACTTACTGAGAAGTGGTTTATTCACGCTTTCACTAGTGGTGATAAACAATTATCTGTGCCTACCTCCAAGTAAAGGACATTCAACTCATTCTCACTGGAAGTCTTGCTGATCAGCAGTGAGTAACTTTAGGAGGGAAAGCACTGATCTGGAGAGCCTTTCTTCCCACCTGAATTTCACCAGGAATTAAAGGGTCTCTGCTAGGGAAGTAGACAGTGTGGCAGGAGAAGAAGAGAATTTCAGACATTTGAGAATCTATACTGTGTTCATTTTGGTGACACACCTTGTAGTTTTGAACTAGATGTTGAAAATTATAATGTTCATTTTTCCTTTTATTCCTTACCTTTCTCTATTTTTTTCCTGTTTATTATTTTTTTTTATTTCATATAATTCTATTTCTCCTTCATTGCACTTGGAGGAATGAAGGGTTCCTTGTGGAAAGGAATGCAGGTCTCATCTCTCTCATGGATTACAGCCTCTCAGAGCTGAGACATATTAATAAGTCTACAGTCCTGATGAGCATGAGCACCAGTACGACAGTGCATGACACAATCTCTTGAATGTTTTGGTTGAAATGACCTGGCTGAGTTGTTGGAGTAATTCAAGGTTCTTCTCCTGAAGACCAGAGTGGTTTCGGATTTGGTTACTGTTTTGACTTCAGTAAAAGTCACCTGTTCAAGGACTGATACCTTGGACTTGGTTTAAGTCCCAAAGACTGAATTCCATAATTCTTGGGAAAATGTCTTAATTTCTGGAGAAAATGTATTAGTGAAGTGGTTGTTAAGAATTTAATTGTATGTAGGGAGGGAAGTAAATTTTTAAAGTTTGATCTTCCTGTTGCTTTTTAGATCCCATATAGCATTCAAAAATCTCTCTGTACCTCTGGCAGAAGACATTAATTCTTTGAACATAAAATTATGTTCAAGTTCTTTTGTGATACAGATATGAAGGAGAAATCCTGCTGGACATCTCTCTAAGTGGCACTTTGTCTGAAGTAGCTATTATTATTTTTAATATGGATTTTTCAAAAAAAGAGATTCATCCATCTAATAAATATTTTCCCATTTCCACAGCATTTAATTTCTACCTCATGTGACCTGATTAAAACTATTCTTCGTACAGGATCAGCAATGAGTCAAGTGCACCCTTCCAGAACGCCAAATGGATGACTCTGTTACTACATGGTTACTCACAAATTGGCAACCTCCATTTGGCGACCTGGTGTCACTGTAAATTAATCATGGCAGCAAAGTGATATTTAGGGAGTGTAATAACCACAAATGACCTTGGTGTAATGCCTCTCTCAGGAGAAAGCCAAGCTTTCATTTGCTGTGATCTCAGGTTTGTAACTCTTTTCCCCTGTAAAAGCAGCATTAAAAAGTGATGTGTAAAATGAAACATAAGGCATAATGTCTGTCTGGCAATTCAAAGTTTCTAATTCTTTATTCCATAACAGGATCTGATAAAAATCCAGCAATAATTTCCTTTAGCAACAGTAACCAACACCATGTTTTCTCCTTACTTACAGTATTAATGTCTAGGAAAATGGGAGATGGCTAAATTTCCTTTTTTTCTATCATAGGCTGTTGCATTTTCTCTGGAATTTAATATGCAGCTCTTCATATCGCACAGAGATGCTTATGACAGCTGTGACATATGACACAGTGAACAAAGTTATACATATATGAATATTGGTCAGATTTTGCCATACTCTTTCTTGTGAAATAATATTTGATATCAGATACTAATCAGTCTGAATAAGGAAACCTTTATGTTTTAGGTTCTTTTTAATGCTGCAGTAAATGTCCTTGCTCACCACCCAAGAGGTGATTTTGCATCTAAAGCTAGTTATTTTCAATACTATTTTCAATATTGTTTTCAATATTATTTCATATACAGACCATGGTATTCTGTGGCATTTCTCTGATTCATTACTATTGCCTTCACCTGAAGCATTTATCGAATTCTGTTACTAAGCCTGTGACTATACATTTCCTTTGTGAATGGATATTAAACAGAAACTGGGCAGAGGAGCAGTGGCTGGATGTGCTGAAATCATATTTTCAGGTGATGTTTTGAAGCTGTGATTCTACATCCAATGAAATGTCTGAGTTCACTTATCAAGGCACATTATTGACAGAGGGTAGCTCTTCTCAATGGCTCCAGAACATTAATCTGGGCAGAAATCATGAAAATAACCAGGCTTCTCGTAAGATAAATACTGCAAAAGAAGGCTGAAAACCTGCATGCATAAAATGCACCTCCATAACTCTCAACAAATGTGGAAGCTGTGCGAGAGACTTCAGTGCAGAAGCAGAAGAGAGCTGAAAAGTTTTGGCTAGATGTGGTACAAACACTAGTACTGGTCATGGAAACTAGCAGGGATAGAGAGATATTAGTGGGTTTGACTGCTCTTTTGTAGAAAGAGTGGCATATATCTTTTATTGATACATGCATCCTGATGTGACTAACGGCATCCGGCTCAGATGCCTGGAAACTCTGCTTAACTACTGCAGTGCACAAGCCTGGGCTCACGGCTTTCAAAGCTCACTAACAAGAAGAGATAACATAAAGAAAGACAAAATCCACATTTTTATTTGTCTTTTCACACTGTTCCTTTGTGATGAGTCCTGTAATAGCCAGACAGTCTTCCTAGTTTTGTTTCTCTGAATCCCCAGGGGCTCTCCCTAGATCTGGGACTTAGGAACTAAGTAATGACTCGTGCTTTTGGGCAGATTTGTTCACATGCATCCCAAGGTGGATTCAAGAGGCTAGCAGCATCCCAAACAGCCCTCTTCTCTTGTCTGTAAAATGAATTTTTTTAAATGTTACATAGTAAGACTAGGAAAGAATGGTATGCATTCAGTGTGAAACCTCCCCCTGTAAACTGTGCTCCTTATCAAAATGATTAGATGGTGAGATGATGGGGTGGGTGCAATCTATCTAAGTATCTGTCCACCCATCCATCTATCCATCCATGTAAAGTGACATTGAGCAGGTTTGTAAGTTTTTTTCCTATGTTGTTTTATTTTCACTGAGTTTTTATATTTTATATGTTTGTCTCATTTTTTCCCTTGTGTTTTTTTTTTTTTTTTAATTGGTTGTCTGGTTGTTTTTTCTTATTATCTCATTTTTATATTATTTCTTCGTATGTATTGTCAGGAAAAGGAAAATAAGATTCCAGTCCCTGAGTGCCAAAAAGGTATCACTGCTCTCCAGATTCAGCTCTCACCAGACACTCAAACCTCTCCACTCCTCGCGTCTACCCAAAGGCACAGGCTACTGCTGCAGACCTGAAAGCAGACTGTCCCCAGTGTGGCCCCTGAGCCAATTCCTTTCTCTCTCAGCAAGGATAATCAGATCCTCTCCACTGTTAGGTGATGAATCTACACTGGGACCTTTGGAGACACCTGATCATCTGCTGGCTCCAGGTCTGCCGCAGCCAGGGCCAAGCAAACTTCAAAATTATAACTCACAGAAAACTCATCACAAACAAGGGCAGATGACTACAGTTATCTCTGATGAAGTAATATAAGGTCAAATCTTCAACACAAGATAAGTAGGAGTGCTACATTTATTCTCTGGTTGTTGTTTTTCAGGCTTTTTTTCCTCCAGTAAATATCCCTAAGCTTTGCTAGCCAATAGGAAATGGAGCCAAAATTCCAATTTCTATTTCATCCCAATATGACATCCCGAGAGTGCAATTGCTTCACAAGCTGTCAGTCCCAACACAGGGATGCTAAATGGACCTAAAGAGCTCTTTGAAATCTCAGTATAAATTATCCTTCTGGAGCCGAACCAATGCACATTTTCTGTGTTCACATGCTGACAAACTGTGCACATTTACCCTGACTCACACTCCGGCTTTAATGTCACTTTGACAATAAGTAATCTTGGCTACAAGCTGTGTGTGGACAATTACTCGTTCTACTCATTTCTGTTTCACTCTCATAAACAGTTTTCTGAAATACCCCCAGCTTCATGATTGCTTCAGGCCAGACGGGGATTTGGACCAAGTGTGGTGGAGAGGGGTCCACCTCACCTTGCCTTGGTGTGGCCATTCCAGCAGTCCTCCTCGACTGACGGGCCGGCTGTCACTCGCTCATCCTTGCAGATTGTGTAGGGTAATGTTGACCAGAACTTTTTAGAGAGCTTTAGCTTTTCTTTAATATCTGTTACCTGATTAAAACAAAACGAGAGGGAAAACAGATTAAAAACATCAGCCACCTTAACTATAATGTTAAACAATACATTGTTTAGGTTTGTAATGGTGATGATGGTGAAGGTTAAAAGGGCTAAAGGTGCTAAAACTTAATTGCCTGTATTTAAAAGCAAGACACTCAGCATTTGAGTTCAGAATGTACAATCAAAGTCACCTTTTTCCACAGGCAAGACATTAATAAAAACATGTTGCATCTTGCTCTTCCTAGTCTCCATTTGTCTAAGGTTTTCTAAATATACATCTTTTCAAGAATTAATATGCCTCACAGTTTGCTGAATGTGAATTCAGTTAAACAGTGTACATCAGACAAAATGTCTCACCCACCAACTTGGTCACATCTTAGAAAAATATTATATAGAGAGCTCCATGTATGGGTTCTAAAAAAAATGGTGCAGTGCTGAGCTGATGTTGAACTGATTTAAGATACGCAGTCTGAATACACTGCAGTACATTTAGATCTCAGCAACAGTGAGAAGCCTGTGTATATACATTCATGCAGAGAGTATATCCTTCTTTGCTGTTAGGTGTAGATAAATATCTGTTACTGGATACAGAATCCGCGTGCAAGGAATGTTAGGACAATATCTAAACAGTTTCTTTACCTTATAAATTCCTTGAACAATAATTTAATTTGGCATTATTCAGGCAACAAGCAGGAACAAACTGAATTTCCAGCATCAACTTAAAAAATAAATGCTCTGACTAAAATTTTATCAGTCCTTGTTTTGTGTTTGGTATACTAGAGTGGAAAAATCTACAAGAATAGATAGAAAAAACAACAAAGGACAGACTACAAAGGATGAATGCTGCCACTGTTGTTCTTATGGAAACATGCATTTCACATTAAATTGTTATAGGCTTTAGGGGAGCTTGTTGAATAGCTTTTAAAGGAAATCGCTAAGCTTTGTTCTTTAAAAAACCAAGAAATAAAATCTCTCCATTCTTCCATTCAGTTTTGAGATTGTCTTTTAGGTTGTTGAGGTACAATATTGTACTTGGCTATTTATCTTTTTTATCTTTTGTTCTCAGGACATGATAGCTCTCCAAGCAAATGGCCCATGCTGCTTTGCCATGCTTAAACTCTGTGGAATGTCACTTTATAAGCCAAGAGATAGAAACAGCTGAGGATGTTATTTCAGAAGCACAGTCTGAATTTTCATCCATAAAAAATAAGTAGGACAGTATTTGGCTGTATGGGTTGTTGATGGTGTTTCTTGCCGTGATAGACACCTGATAAATCTCCTCCACACCCCTCGCCAAGCTCCAGTTCCTTTGTTTTCATATGAGATACCAGTAGCATTTGCAAGCCTTTAAAGTCTCAGTGGGGAGCCCTGTCAAGCCAAAAATTAAGTTCCAGTTTACAGACTGTGGGCAAGCCTTTGGCAGAAAGTGGAGATGGTCTCAGGATACCTGTCATGTCTGATGTCTTTGGTCCATGGGACCAGGGGTTTTGGGTGGACAGCAGCCCCTCTTCTTCCTCTTCTGCCCATGCGGAGGGTAAAAACCGCCCAGTTGGGACTGGGACAACTAATCAGCACAAGCAACTGAGTGAAACTGTCCATTGTTGACAGGGTGTAAATTTCTGCTAAGATACAGAGTGGATAAAGAAATCCTATAGAAAACACATGGAGGAGAGTTTATAGGGAGTAGGGTCCATTCATGTAAGCTTGATGACTGTGAGAGTCAAAGGGATAGATTTTCTTTTTTATTGCTTGTGCCTAGATAACTATTTACACAAGCAATCTGATTGATATTGTTGGTGAATAATTAGCTTTCAGAGCTTGCTGGAAGTTACTCTAAACTATTGAAAACTCACATGTTTTAGAGTTACATTCAGATTTTGACCATAATCAAATTAAAACTGGTGCTGTAGGACTTGCAAACTTCTGTTTTGAACCACAAGTTATTCAACACCTATCGGAAAGTTATTTTCCCCCCTGGCCCTTCTAAGGACTGCAATTTGTAGTACAAACCTTTTATTTTCCTAGAAGCCAACAAAAGAATGGAGAGAGATTCTCACAGTTCACATGCTGCACATGTTTTCCAGATATTGCCTCAAAATCAAAATGAGGGTTCCCATTCCCCAATTACTTTCAAAGATATTAAATAATGTTTGCATACGCTATGTTGTTAAATTTCCTAACAGTATTTTTTTCATTTGTGTTACAGAAGTACACCTGATAAAGTAATATGGTCTTTACTCAGGATTGTTGGTAAATGACAACTAATTAAATCTCAGAGACATCCTCCTGAGGTGTCATTCTCATTTTAGTGCCTCGGGTAAATGAGACATTTGCATGACTCACAAAAAGCATCAATAGTAAAAATGACTACAGCTTAGGGAAAGGTTCTCATTTGCAGCCTCTCTACATGCCTTCAATTCAGGTGCATTCTAACAGTTTTTTATCACCTTCAGATATTTCCCTTCACAGCTATCCCCCACTGCCCACCTCCCCTATTGCATTATTTCACCATGGAGCTTTAAACAACTTGTGTGGACTCAGCCCTTGAAGTCTTGCCCTTTCCTGCTTTCTGACCGAACCTCTGTCAACCCTCAGCTTTTGGCAGTGGACTTTACACATCTACCTAAGTGGTTTCTTGAACCTCATCCTGAAACTTTCTGCAAGTGCAATATGGTGACTGATGGCTTTGAAAACGGGATTCTGAACACTGATTGATTCATCTCCTCTTTCAAGGAGTAGCCTGATGGCCATGTTCTCTTCTGTATGATGAATGTTCAGGCAGGCAATGACTTTGGAATACTTTTAATTTAACTTTAAGTGCAGAATAGAATTAGGTGATGTAATGCCTGCCGTGACATGTAAAACTTTTTGGTTTTTGGAGGTTTCAGTTCCAGGATCTTGTCAACCATGACCACAGAAATTTTCTTATTAGTCCCCATGGTTACGTATGTTCCTCTGTACACTGTTATGATTACCACCAGCACTTAGAAAAATATGTAACAGATGTACAGACCCTTGGAAATGAGATAAAAACCACTAAGGATTCCGTTAACATTGCTTGCTTGTGATTTACAAATTCAGACTACTGTATTCCCCTGGTGACCTGTGGCCTTGTAAATGATTCCTTGGTATTTCCTATTCTTTGAATTAAATGTTAACTTTCGAGCTTGGTTAGACATCTGTGGAAACATTAAACATGAGACATATGTAATTTCGATATTTTACATATTTTCTTTCTGCTTTCTCTAGCAGAGATTTATAGGGATTAAGATAGCTGGATCTCTTTGGCTGTAGTTAGCCTAACTTTCCCTTGTTATCTTCCTGACATAACCCTGATATTATATTGAAATATCTGTTTTTTTCAGCTACTCTGAAGGTATGAAACTTCTTTTGGATCAAGAAAAATAAGAAAAAAGATATAGCAAGAACCAAGCAAAGAGTTATATCTTTAATTTATTTAGAGATATATAGAAATGGATATTAAAATAGTCTAACCTTGATCTATAATTGCTAACAGAAATAAGGCATTACCGTGTAAGTGAAAAAAGTTCAATGTTTGCATCATTCGTAAAGAGAAATTTATATCCAGAGTTACAGGAATGGTATAGTTACATGCCCTAAACTGAGAAATACAGTTGATTTCTTATTTCTGCCACTGACTTCTTAGGCAACCAAATCAGTCACGTAGGTCACGCAATTCCTCAGCAGAACTTGGAAGGGCATCCATGAGTTCAGTTCCTGTCCTACCAGCATGGGCTCAGTTATAAGGTAAATAAAACTGACCAATGTTTTTGTCTTCTTTACTCACCTTGCACTCCAAAGTAATGAAGCGACCTAAAAAGCAAGCCTGTCACTTTAGTAGGAATCAGACCTTAGCATTGTTTGGTTTATGTCAGGGCATCTGGGTAAATAGAAAGACTGACAAGAAGAATTCAAAAAAGCATTGGAAATACCATGCAAGACTAAAAGTGAGATGACTAAAAGTCCTCCTCTGGCAAGTCCATGTCTTATTCCTTCCAGATTTGTCATCTCCACCAATATAATCTCTACTCTCACAGATAGAGGAATATCACAAGATGCTAAAATATTGTTCAAAGATGGTGAAATGCATCCAAACCTGACAGAGGTTCAATGCAATAAATGAAATAAAACACTCTGGAATCTTCTTTTTGTTAAGAAGAAATGGTGCTCATTAACATCCTTTTCTTCTTCCTGGTGTTTTTGCATTGTATTTTTATTCTTGTTTAGTCTGCAATTTGGAAAGATTTCCTTATTGAAATGCAAGCAGAATATTCATCTTGCCTTTCTGTCAATACCTTCTGCCTGTGGATGCTCAGAAACAACTTGATTCAAAGCCCCAGTGAGAGTTAAGCCTTTATGACCTGGAAAAATGTACAGACGTTTCTGGTTGTTCACTAGACGCTGTTTCTCTGGTGTGTCAGGGTGCCGTTCTGGTTGCCGTACCATGGGTTGGTTATCTGGTGGCATAGACGCTTGGAAGATGTTTCAAGTGGATGTTTGTGACAAAGTAATGTCGGGGACTTCAGGGTCTGTATGTAAAATGTATCCTACCAGTGTGTCACACTGACAGAACAGCTACAGACAGCGAGTAGAAAGCAACCTGGCATTTTGTCTCAGAGAACAGACATGAAAGCAGCCATCATAAACCATGTTCACATCTGTGTAGTTTCTTTAGTCACTTACTCCTTTGCCCTTTAATTCACAAGCAGCGTTTAACTAATGACACTTCTTTATTCTACATTATTTCCAGGTGAAAAACTAGACAGTTTTCTACTGCCTGCTCCTTGCTTTCTCCTGGAACTGTCTAAGACACCCAGCCATGCACCCAGCACCCTTGCAGTCCTTATTAAAAATGATGAAGCCCTTGGACAATTGTGGGCAGCTGGATAACGGATTTATGGATAGGGTGCTTGACCACCTGAGCCACATGTGGGCTTGTAAAGAGCATGCCCTTCATTGTGGATGTGGCCAGG